GTCAAACTCACTCTGAAAGGGCTGTAGCTAGCTTAGTGGGGCTGTAGCTAGCTTAGTAGTGCTGTGCTTTAACACACTGTGCCTCCTGGGAGGACCCTCTTTCTTTTTTTAATTCCACCAGATCTTCCTTGTTTATAAAATAGCTATAGCATTTAAAAGATTAAAAAGCAGATAAGAATATATGTGTATAAAAGTGTATTTTACACGCGCACACACACACACACCAATCTACGTGTGTGCACAAAAGCCATTGTTCAGATCCCATGGCAGCAGTAAAAGAGGAGAATCATATACGCACAACTATGACTAACCCTAGCCCAAAGGGTAGCTGGGATTTACCGGCTTTCTGGTCAACAATGAGAAGTGGCTTAGGGACTTGATCCCTGAAGAGGGCAGCCAAGAGCTGCCATAACTCTTGAAAAAAGAACCAGCTGAGAACCTGAAAGATGATTAGGAAAGTGTTTTCTTGTCCGTTGTGGAAATTATATAGAGAGATATAAGCCGTTTTGGGGTGTGATAAGGCTTGATCAGGACTAGGAATAACAGTTGAGAAAACTAGGAACTCCAGTCAAGTAATACTTATTCAAATTATTAAGTAATACTTATTCAAAGCTAACCAGATGTTAGCTGAGGTCTCTTATGATAGGAGATCTAGACAGGATGGACTTGAACGTTCATTTTTAGAACCATTACAGTACTCTGGAACACTAAGATCCCTGTAACTCTGGGAGGGAGGAGGCATGTTTTGGGTATTACGTTCTCATTCTCGTGTAAGTATAAAGCAAAGCATTGAGAATACTGGCTTGCTTTATAAGTATAAGTTATTTTGTCCTTTTCTTTCTTTCTCCTCTTTTGCTTCCTCCTTCTAATCCTAGTTACTGTTATGATGTTAGGCTCCAAGTTCTGCTTTTGTTGAACATTGGCATGTGAGTATGGGTGGTCTCACAAGCTCTTATGCAGGCTGTCTCATTCTGCACCATCTGGACCCATTTGTCAATTCCCTTTCTCACTTGATATATACTGGTAACATCACTACTCCCCTTTCCCTGCAACACACACACAGACACACACACATACACACACGTATACAAGTTAACAAGAGGTATTTTTGTTTTTAATCAGACTTGAGTGAAAATTCAGAGAGAGAGAAATGAGGTATGAATAGCAACAGTTCCACAATGTGAACATATTCCCCTTGAAACTATGCACTTTTTAAAAGTCCTTTTGCAAGGAATTGTTCAATTGATTTCTCACCCATATAGGGGCTTAGCAATATATTAGTTAGCTTGTTTCTCTTTCTGTTCCTGTCTCCTCTGTCCAGGAGTTCCTCAATACCCTCTCATTCCTGTATTGCAGGCCGCAATGCAAATTCTCATTTTTTTTTTAATGCAGAACACAGCAATTCTTATGGGAATCTATTTCCATGATGAGGTTTAGCCCACTTTTGCATATCCAAACCCATCCAAATGTTCAGTAAAACAAAAAGGCTCTTACTTACCAGACTCTAAAATACTCCATTTACTAGATTTCCAAAGACATCATGATTGTAAATTTCATTTTCTACTTTTTCTTTGTATGAGTTAGATTGAGTGAGGAAGATTTAGCAGGAAGCTACTTGGAAGACAATACACTGGGAGAAAAGTGGAGAGAATTCTGGGGAAAGGATTCACATTTGGAGAAGAATATCTTCTGTGAATGGTGGTTTCAGGCTGGAGACCCAAAACCAAGAGGAATTCAGCTTACAGGGAATAGGCATGTTAAGAATTCAATTGCAAACTTAACATGAGAAAAGTGGAGAAAATCCCTCCACAATCAGGCTACAGGTAAGATAAATCAACCCACTTCATTCAATTACTAGGGTACTTTGCACTTTCATTGTGGGCATGAAGAAAGGGTTTGAAGAAACCCCCAAACATGAAAATCCACTTGAAAAGAATTTAAGTAAACATCTTAGTTGCCTGAAAAGGATTTGAAGACCCTCTAACACTAATGATATAATTAATAATTTTTCCTTTCTCATGGGAAACAAGTGTGTTTAAGTCCAACTTACTGCTATCACTCTCAGGGATGTCACATTAATCCTATGTGCTCCTTCCCAGAAGAAAAACTGTACCGATTGCAGAAAGGGAAAACAAAATGAAATTGTAGTAGAATTTCACTGAAAACATATTTAAAAAGTGACCAAGTACAACACAAATACAAAACAGTTATACTATTTCAAAGGCATAGTATACAGCTCATTTATATATATTTACATATACACATACATATTTGCACACGTGTATATATATGTATGTGTACATATACGTGTGTGTGTGTGTGTGTGTGTGTGTGTATCCCAAGCAGCAAACATGTACTACCAGGCTCCCCCAAGGTAACACAGGTAATTTAAACTGGCTCGCCCCACAGATATGGGCTTCAGCTGTTCTGGATTGAGAGCCTCAGGATCAAGTCAGTAGTCACCACTCTGTATGTGCCTTTGCCACCTTAGTTCTCCAGTAGTGCACTGTCCCTCCTGCATGCCAACTCTGCACCCCACTCTCCAGTGCACTGCTGGGTTTCCAGTGTCTCTGATGTGAGCTTGTGCTTTTCAGTTAACAACAGAGGGGCTCAGTACAGCATCTTCTCCTCCCTCTTTGGGGTCACACTGGCCCAGTATCATTGTAAACACCTTCAAATTAGTTTTTCACAACCCCACTCACCACACTATTACTCCTGATACATGTGATAGCTGTCCATTTATCTTTCAAAAGTAGTTGTTTATCTTCCAAAGTTGTTGACTTTTTTTGTTCTAAGTTGGTTATGGGTATACAGAGGAAGAAAGATCAATGTCTTCATCCTGTCACCAGCTCCCAGCATGCTTCTAGAGATAGGCTTTTTGTCCTATGCCTTTTGAAGAGATTACTGTCTGGTGGATTTAGCACATGAAGTAGCTCATATACTCCTTGTGGCAGACTGTCTGCAAAGACAGCAGTTCAAATCCCTCTCATTCCTAGTGAATGTATTGAATGTGTTGTGCCTTACTGTTATGCAACAATAATTCAATAATATCACAAACTAGATTTGTGGAACTAAATAGGAACCTCAGAAATGTGTTGTTCTTACACATTATTTTAACATAGAAGAAAAAGACTCTTTGAGCAACAGAACATAGCAAAAATGCATGTATGAGTTCTAGAGGTCAGGTCTCAAAGTGTCTTTTGAATAACTTTTGCTTTCACTCACTTGGAGCCTTTAACTGTTATGTAAAAAATATAGCTACCCTATTGGAGAAACCAGATGAAGAGGAAGACCCAAATTAAAGTTAATGAGAAAAGAAATTAGGTGGATTCAAAAGGTAATGATGAGTTCAACCACTTGCATAAATAATATCAATAAGAAATTATCTTCAATTATTATCTGAAGAATTTGGAAACTATCCAAAATGTAATCCAGCAGACATGTTAAATTCAAAGAGGTATGCTAAATGTTGTAACTAAGAAATGCCAGAAATTAAAATGCTCACATGGACTAAGTAGATTATATAAATTTGTTTTCATATAATCTTTTTATATACTCAAGCTGAGATTAA